GTCGAGGGAGGACGGGGGCGGTCTTGGGGGGAGGGGGATCAGAGATGCGAGAGGAGGAGGCAGTGGGAGGTGGGAGGGCCGGGGCACGGGGGCGGGGCGATCCGAGATCCTCCAGGCGGTGCGGCAGGCGGGGACCTCCGGAGTCCGACCCCGGCGCCCTCGGGTGGCCGCAGTCTCCGCTGTTCTGGGGGCTCCCCCAGGTTCGGGGAAGCCCTGGGGGTGCGTGGGGCGGCGCGAGCCGGGGGCGCCGGAGACCGACGGTTCCGGGGCCCCCGGCGACCCCGCGCGCAGGGCGCGGCCCCGGGTCCGGAGCGCGTGCGGCTGGTGGCCGCTTGTTGTTTGGTCGCTGCGGCTGGCCTCGGGCGGGCTGTGCGCCCCGCGGACGCGCGGCAGGCTGCAGTGCCTGCAGGTGTCCGTGTTCGCCAACCGCAGCTGGGCGCGCACCGACGGCCTGGCGCGGCTCGAGGAGCTGCAGGTCGACGGCTGGAGAAACGGCTCGGACTCCATCCGCTTCCTCAAGCCCTGGGCGCGGGGCCCGTTCGGCGAGGGGCAGTGGGACGAGCTGCAGCGGCTACTCAGTGTGTACCGTGGAAGCTTCACCAGGGACATGCACGAATTCGTCAAAATGCTGCGCCTGGACTGTGAGCTGGGGGTGGGACCCTGGGCCGCTGCCCGGCGGGGGCTCTGCCTCCCCCTCTGCCCGAGACGCCCAGCGCGCGCCTCCGTCCCCGGGTCCCCGCTGCTGCCCTGGCACTCCCCAGCTCCGACCCCGCAAACCGCCGCCGTTCCTCCTGCTGCTGGCCCCCACTCGTCTCCCGGGACTCCGGGTCCGCAGTAGAACCCTGATACGCATTTCCCCTCCGCGGTCCCTTCTAATCCTTACGGCCTTTCTTTGGTCTTTGTCCCGTCCTCTTCTCACATCCCTTTGGGGTCCAGGTGTCTGCTGGCTGCGAGCTGCGCCCCGGGAACACCTCCGAAAGCTTCTTTCACGCAGCATTTCAAGGAAAAGAGATCATGAGTTTCCAAGGAACTGTTTGGATGCCAGCCCCAGATGCCCCCTATTGGGTGGGCAGGGCCACCAAAGAGCTCAACCAGGACCAGGGGACCAGAAAGACCCTACAGTGGCTCCTCAATGACACCTGCCCCCAGTTTGTCAGAGGCCTCCTTGAGGCAGGGAAGTCGGAACTGGAGAAGCAAGGTGAGCCTGCCTCTCTCACCCCTGCCCTCCACTCCTGCGCTCCTGGCTGGGGCTCCCCGTTGCAGACCTCACAGCCCTTGGATCACCCCCCCCCCCCCCGGGGAGAATGTCTCAGGAAGGCATGGGTGAAGCCTGAGGGCATTTATTCATCCCACAGACATTAACCAAGCCCCCCTTGGGTTCCATGAATTGAATTAAATAAACACTGGGGGGTCAAACAGGATCTCTGCTGAGGGGCGGGGGTCAGGGAAGGTTTTCCTGGGGAAGCCAAAACGAATGGACAAAGTCATGAGGGATTCCATCTCCAGAGGGGGAAGTGTGGGCTGCCGAGTTCCTGCCTTGAGATCCCCCACTTTCTCATCCGACACAGTGAGGCCGGAGGCCTGGCTGTCCACTGGGTCCCGGCCGTCTGCTGCTGGTGTGCCGCGTCTCTGGCTTCCACCCAAAGCCTGTGTGGGTGATGTGGATGCGGGGTGAGCAGGAGCAGCGGGGCACGCAGCGAGGCGACGTCCTGCCCCATGCTGATGGGACATGGTATCTCCGAGTGACCCTGGACGTGGCGGCCCGGGAGGCAGCTGGTCTGTCGTGCCGAGTGAGACACAGCAGTCTAGGGGGCCAGGACATAATCATCCACTGGGGTGAGAAAGAACTGGGGCCCGGCTGGGCATGGGGGAGATGGTCCTCAAGCATAGAGGGAGGCACTGGCCATGAGGCAGGTTGGGACACACACAGGATAGAGGGGTTTCCAAAATGCACCCCCCCAAACCAGGAAGGTTAGAAGGAGGGGGTTCCAGATACCAGAAGGAGGGAACGGAGGGGAACAAAGCCTGAACTCAAAAAGGGTTGAGATAAATGTCCCATATACAAGGAAAAAGAGACCAAACAACTCACAGGTCCAGAAGCAGGTGGCAAATAAAGAATCCCAGGAGAGGTCACTCCCCATGAGAAGCCGGGGTTGGGGGGGCGGGGGAACAAGGTAGTTGCTGGGTCTTGAGTGCTTCCGGACTCTGCCCAGCATGGCGTCCACTTGTCCCTGGCTCCTTTGAAGCAGGTGCTATTCTTCTCCTTTTATTGTTGAAGACAAGGAGACTAAGCTAGGTCAGGTTCACTGCTCTTGGTCTCCTGGGTGGAGAGTGGCTACCTGGTTGTCCTTGCTGTGTGTGTTATACCGCCGTGTGTTGAAGGTGTCCCCGGCGCCCAGGCCCTGAGACAAGAGGGGGCCTCGAACCTGCAGAGGAACAGAAGTGGGCACTCCCCGTGGGGGAGGCAGGGAGAAGCATCTGTGGCATCCTCCCATGGGCTCAGACCAAGGGCCTTGGAATAGGGAGGGGTCCGTGCTGACAGCCTGTGTTTCCCACGCAGAGGGGAGCCACTCCTCCATGTGGCTGATGCTTGTGGCCTTGCTGGGGTCCTTACTGATGATTGGATGCTTAGCCCTCTGGTATAGGAGGCACCGGTAGGTCTCCCCTTCCCGACCCCTCCTTCCTTCAGCCTCTCCTCATTTCCTGGCCCCTCCAGCCCCTCTCCCCTTTCCCTTAATGTTCTCTCCCTTCCTACACCCTCTCAGCTCCTATCAAGGCATCCTGTGACTGCTCGCCTCACCTGTCTGGGACTCAGGATCGCAAGTGCCCAGGACGTCAGCTCAGCAGCTGAGGGTGACAGGAAAGCTGCCTTGAAGAATCAGGCAGCAGTCACAGAGCAGTTCTCGTCATGTCCTTTTCACATTTCATGTAAGAAGATTGAAGTTCTTCTTCAGTATAGTGCAAGTTTATAAGCCCCCATGGTTCTATTAAAAATAGACGTGCAAACTTCCAGGGACAAGCAGATACAGGCTGGGGTGTAAGGTTGTGCGTGGTCACTGGATGGTGCAGTCTGCAGTGAATTGGGAAGTGATTGCTCCTGAGGAAGCAGGTCCAGCTGCTTGCTGTCAAGGATAAAGGGAGACCTACCAAAAAATGAATGAATTTCTAAAGTAAGACCCTGGCTTGGCTGTAGCCTACATTTTTCAAGAAAAGTGGACGTCTAGATTTTTGTGTGAACATGCCTGATACTAAAATGTGCACTCAAGCTTTTACAAACTGTTTGGGACACCCCGGATACATCTCTGCTTCTCGATGACAGTGTGGGGGCTCCTTGGATAAAAGTTTGTCCTGAATGACAAATTGGTAGTTTTAGGGCATAGTTTCTTTTGTGAATTTGGACTTATAAAGGGGGGGGGGGCGTTTTCTTCTTTAAAAGAAAATTAGGTTGTAAGAAACAGGTTTCTCAAGATTTTATTTGGTGCAACTGATTTATAAGGAGAAATCATAGTGTACGTGTATTAGGTAGAAAAAAAAGTTACTCTGGGTAGGGATATTTCTCCCAAATGGCCAGTCACTTTTTTCAGATTGGAGGAAGTCAGTCATGAAGGTGTCCCCACAAACAGGCTCCCCCACTTACAGCTATTAAGTGAGACAATGCTCAGGAAGAGGGTAAACCCACTTGGGCAGGTGTGAGCTGCCCTGATCAGCACCCAGCTGTTTGCTCTGTTCCTAGTTAAGGATCCTTGAACATCCAGAAGACATGGGACTAAACTTTCAGAGAGTCTTTGCTTGAGAAAATTAAGCATTGACATCTTGTATGCTGAACTTTCTGGTTGAGCCTCAGATGTGGGTGAAGATCTTGCCAGCTCCTAAATCAGTGGTTCCCAATTGTGATCTCCTGACCAGCAGCCTCAACACCACTGGGGACTTGCACATTGTTCTGGACCCCATCTCGGACCTCCTAAATAAGAAATGGGAGTGGGGCCCCCCGTAATCTGTGTTTGAACGAGCCCTTAGGTGGATCTGGTGTTCAGCCGCTGTGCTTTGGGTCACGCGGTGCTACAAATTCCTCAGAATGATTGTAAGTGAAAATATTGGCCTGGGATTAGTCAGGGAAGGCTTCCTGGAAGGGGCATCTGACGCAGGACTTGTACAGGTAGTGAGGGGAACCCGCAGGTGCACTGGGTCAGGAGACCAGAGTTTTGGCCTTGGACTCAGTGTCTTCCTGTGTCAAGTGGAACCAGGAAGCAGATCCTCAGAGCGGCCGCAAACCTGCCAGTGCCTCGGTCTTGGACTGCCAGCCTCCAGACCCGTGAGAGATACATTTCCCTTGTTTATAAGACACCCCTCCCAAGGCATTTTGTAAATGCAGCCTGAATGGGTTAGGACAGATTATCTCGCAGAGGGTGGGGAGCAAATGTATGACTGTGTGGCTGTCTATGATGCCTTCAAACCAGGGGCCCAATACTGCCCCCAGGCAGGCCATGCGGTTCAGCTTGGCTTCCTCTGGCTGCGCCAAGGCTCTGAACCCGTCCTACCGGCCGGCTGCGTTCTTAGGGCATGTGTGTTAAAAGCCCTTCTGAAGTCTTTTTGGAAATGCGTCAGCATGAGTTTACAGAAACTCTGGTTCATTTTAAAGAAATTGATTTATTTTGGAAATAAAGTCCTATCTCTGGGAAAATCTGTCTTGTCTTCACATCCTTAGCTTAGAACACCTCAGGAAGCCCTGAGAATTCATTTTAAACTGTTGATATTCTCTTTGTGAATGTCACGTTCCTCATTGGGTGCTGGGCTGCTCGTCAGTGCGTGGTCACTGGGCTCCAGATTCGTCCTTCTTATGTGCTCCGTGACAGGTGACAATGTGTGGAATTCCTCTGGCCACTTCTTTAAAGTGAGCAGTTAAGCTTTTTTGGTAGAAGGCCCTCGAGAGGCACGGCGGGAGGAAGGGGCTCTCTTGTAGTTTCCAGCTACCACGTGGGCCGGTCCGCAGAGTGGGCGTGAAGGCACCGGCTGCATTGCGGCCCCAGCCACGTGCCCCGAGCTCGCGGACACTGGTGACCTCGCAGCCTCAGCCTGGCCATAACCTTCCGGTGCCTTCTTGATATGGACACTGGCACTTCCTGCTCCCCGGGGTGCCCCGTTCCCTCTGCAGACCCTTGCGCGGCCTGTGCTCAGTCCGCCTGCTGCCTAGAGGGTCCCCCTGAGCTGCACCGTCTGCAAACCCAGGCTGAGGTCTGCAGAATTGCTTCCAGCTTGTCCAGTGACTGCAGGCCAGCTCCGGCCTGGACGAGCCCGCGAACTTCTCTGCTACACCTTCTCCGATGAGGAGGCTGCTATACTCCAGCCCTGGGGAAGGGTTACCTTTCCAGGCGTATTCCCCCTTGCATATTCTCGCCCAGCCCTGGAGTTTTATGTAGAGTTTTCTTTCATCTTAGTTATTTTCTTATTAGAGTTTACTAATTCTACTCAACTTCCTCTGATTGGACTCAGGTAGATGCACACAGGTGTATCTGTGACCCTACAGAGGCATTGGTGAGCTTTCCGAGGCTATCACTCAAATTTACTTCTGCTCTTAAGTCTGTGGCATAGACTTGAGCCACTTTGCAATGAGCTGTAGCCTTTCCTCCCAGAGCTTCGATTTGTTGTTCTTTACCAGGCCATCCTCAGAAGTTTAGGGTGTAATCGAGAGGGGTGCTGTTAATAATCAAGCCAGGACAGGTGTAACCTGGGACAGACTCTCTGGTGACTGTTTGCTGTTTGTGCTGTGCTGGGGCACGGCCCTGGCTCCTAGGCACCTGCTGCTGGGCCGGGCCTCTGTCCCGAGGCCACGCGTACCTTCTGTCCACTCCCCAGGCTCTCCCGTCCCCTCGGTCTTCCCTTGGCTTCTGTGCTCACTATCATGCCTCACACTCAGCATGGCTCCGGCTCAGCGATGTGGCACAGGAGAGGCTGTACCCTCTTCAGCTTCTTTTTCTGAACTCAGGCTGGGTTTTCCCATGGCTTGTATTCTTCTTTTGCTGATTCTATTGAACCATCCCTAGAGGGGTTCTTCCACATTTTTGTGCCCTAGCTTTTCACCCTGCATCTAACCATCTTTCCTATTTTCTTGTGAAAGTTGGGATTATCCGGGGATGATTCCCACATCTTCCTCCTTCCTGGCCCTCAGGGTGAGTGATTTTCCAGTCATCTCCATCTGCAGAGAGATGTCTGTCTTTGCTAAGCTGGACCCTTCCCTCTGGGCTTTGCTTGGCACAGCCTCAGAGCTTGTGCCCCGTGTCTCGCCACCCACAGGCTCCCCACCTTTAGCACGCCAGTGTTCACAGACAGCCGGTGATGTTTACAACACAAGCACAAAAATTTTGCCTGTGGGCAAAATCTCCTCTTTTTGAAAATTCCTGAATTTATGTATCTGGATAATATTTAACATTTTAACATATGTCTTTATTCCTTTCCTTGAAACTTTATTTTTCATTCCTATCCATGTGAGATACCCACGCATTTCTGTGTGCCTCGGGGGAAGAATGTAAGGAATAGAAGACAGAAACTCTAGTTGTGTTTCCAAATGTTCAGTGATGGCAGACGGGATAGGATGTCAAGGCTTAAACAGAGCATCCTCACAAAACAGGAAGATCTTCCCAAGCCAGAGCAAGATGTTTCTCCCAGACGGAGAGGTGTGTAGGGGCTCTAACTGCAGACGACACCTGTCCCCTCCTGTCTGGCAGCACTCCCAGGGTGGGAGCAGGCTCCCAGAAGGAATGCCCAGGTGGCACTCCTGGGCAGTGGAGTAGGGTAAGCTGAACAAAACTCCATGCTTATGATTGTGGCACAGAAATGTTGGGAAGGACACTGGATCTGAGAGGCTGGGCAGGAAGTGAGGTGAATATCTGAGCAGTGATCTGTGTGGTTCAGTGAACGAGCACCAGGGGCTGTGGGATTGGAGTCAGGACTCTAGGAACTGGGGGCAGAAACCGGGGAAAACTAAGGTTACGTCTCCCCCACCACAGAATGGAGCGATGCTCAGACTTAGAAGTTAGAGGTTAACCAAAAGAAACTGAAGAAAGTACTATTTCTTGCTCAGTGAACTTACAGTCTAAGATTTACACCAGTTACCTGTGGGTTGCTAATCATCGTCTGCATCCTTCATAAATGATCACCCTTAGCCCTGGAGCCAATGCATGTTTAGACACTCGCTGGGACTGTGCTGGAAAATTTATTTGAAGCCCTTAGATGGACACAGAATTTAATACTGATTCTGAAATCCCTGTGGGTTATGAGGAGATCAGTGTGAAAGATGGCCGCAGAGTGATGCATCATTGGCAAGTGGACACACGGTGGCTGTCGGATAGAAGAAACCGAGGGTTGTATGTGCTATGGTGAGCGCTGTGAATTGTGCAAGACTGTTGAATCACAGATCTGTACCTCTGAAACAAATAATGCAATATATGTTAAGAAAAAAAAAGAAGAAGAAGATAGCAGGAGGGGAAGAATGAAGGGGAGTAAATCGGAGGGGGAGACGAACCATAAGAGACGATGGACTCTGAAAAACAAACTGAGGGTTCTAGAGGGAAGGGGGTGGAGGGATGGGTTAGCCTGGTGATGGGTTTTAAAGAGGGCACGTTCTGCGTGGAGCACTGGGTGTTATGCACAAACAATGAATCATGGAACACTACATCAAAAACTAACGAGGTAATGTATGGTGATCAACATAACAATAAAAAATTTAAAGTAAAAAAAAAAAGAATTAAAAGAAGAAACCGAGGGTCAAAGCAGCCTTGTTAGAACTTCCCAAGAAGGTTAATTTCTGTGAGTTCCAGAAATAACAGCTTGAAATGGAGGGAAGTGGGAAGTTACATCTGTGGCCTGTGTCTTGGATTCTAGATTTCAACAGCACTGACCACATCAACACAAGCCTAACAGCTCCGTGAAGGCGCTGGCCTGGGGGAGTTTCATCTTAGAAATGTAAATCTGACTCCCAGGGAACACGTTTTGTAAGGTGCAAAGTTGCACGTTCTGTGCTGCATTTCAGACTTTCAGAGTCCTGGCGCTGGCAACGGAGAGATGGGCGGTGTAGCTGGTTTCTCACCACATGATCAAAGGGCGCCCAACACAGAGAATGTGCTGGGAGGTCCAGGCCCCGTGAGGCATCCGGAGCCCTGACAGTTGAGATGTCTTGCTGACTTGGTGGCCTTTGGAAAACCAAGCAAAAGTCCCCTTCTCTCGGGCCTGAAAACCGGCTGCCAAGGCAGAGGGACCCTTTGTGTCCCCTACAGATGTGACAAGAAGAGCTAAGCTTAGCTCTTTCCACAGATGATTAGACCATATACCTGGAAAACCCAAGCAACTGTATTTGACAAAGCCAAGAATGACTTGAATTTGAACAGGAATTTTTGTCATGTGGACAAGGTAAGTGTATGAAAATCAAAGCTATCCTCTATTAGCAATAACCAACTAGAAGTGAAAATGGGAATAAATAGTCCATTCAAAAAAGTGACAGAAATATAAAATTCTTAAGAACAAATTTCACAAAAATGGTACATACCCCAAATGAAGAAAAACACAGAGTCCTCTGAAGGGCAAAAGACGTGTTCTGAATTAATGGAAAGACTTGGTCTATTCTTGGTTTAGAAGAGTTAATATAATCAAATATTAATCCCCAAGATGTGTAAATTAAACGAAATGCTTAGTATTAAAATGGCCAAAAATGTGAGAAAAAATGATGGTGCGGGTATGGGACCTGCCATACTGAATATTAAAACTCAGAGGCACTGTCACTAAAATTCTATGGTAGAGGGCAGCGGGGGTGGGGCAGGACAGACGTTTACTGGACGAATTTGCAGAGCGTAGCAAATAAGTCCTATATATTCTAATGTACCATATAGTGAATACAGAATCATCAAACTTGCTAAGAGACTAGATTTTAATGATTCCAACCAGGAAAAAGCAATAATTATGTGACGAGATAGAGATGAGATAATTATTGCTACAATTCAATCATATTACAATATATAAATGTATCAAATTCACATGCTGTATACCTTAAATGTACACAATGTTATATGTCAAACATACTGCAATGAAAATAAAATACAATAAAGGAAAAGCTAAGAAGAAAGTATTCTGGTAATAAAACTGAAGGTAAGGAATAGAGTGATTTCATATCCCTGTGGAAGAATAATCAGTGAGGGGGCTGGCTCTCCATATAGGAAAATAATAATATTGGAAATCTACCTCACAGCATAAATAAACTCCAGATATATTAAAGACTGAAGTTTTAAAGATTTTTTTTTTACGAAAATAGGAACTCGGAAACTATAAAATAAAATATACACATGTTAAAAAATAATTAAAATTTTGCATGGCAGTAAATAGCATCATTGACCCTAGATTGGGGAAAGTTACAGATAGCTGAGAGAAGTCTCTGATTTATAAGAAAAAGCTCAACACTCAAACAGTAACTGGGCAAAGGCTAAACAGATAAATCATAAAGAGCAAATCCGAATTGGTTAATAAACACAAGAAAAGATAATCATTGTCATTAGTACTCATGGAAATGCAAATTACAGTAAAAGGAGATACCGTTCTCACCGGATTGGCAACAAGGAGGGAGACTAATACAGGATTTTTCAAAACAGTCCTTGAGAAAGCGATTTGACAAAATCTCTTCACGTGAA